AGTTGAGAGCACTGGCTGTTTTTGCAGAGGACCCAAGTTCGATTCTCAACACCCATGGCAGCTAACAAAACCCTGTAACTCTAGTTCTAGGGAATTTAAAGCCCTCTTCTAACCTCTGTGGGCATTGCACAACATGTACTTATATACATGCAGGCAATACACTCATACAGATAAAATAAAAATAATAAATAAGGGATTGGAGAGCTAGCTCAGCGGTTAAGAGCACTGACTGCTCTTGAAGAGGACCCAGGTTTGATTCCCAGCACCCACATGGCGGCTACAAACTGTTCTTAACTCCAGTTCCAGGGAATCCGAAGCCCTCTTCTGACCTCCACGGCATTGCACAACACAGGTGCACTCACATACATGCAGGAATACCCTCATACACATAAAATAAATAATAATAAATATTTTTTAATTAATAAATTAACAAAAAAGAAATAAAAGACCAGTTTCAGGTAGCTAGGCAAGTCTTCAAATCTTTTATTATTATCATTTATTTTTTGGCCACATGTGCACCATACCTTTAATTCCGGCACTCTAGAAGAGGTGGACTGATCTCCTGTAAATTTGAGACCAGCCTGATGTACATAGTGAGTTCCAGGCCAGCCAGGGCTACATAGTGAGATTATGTTTCAAAAATAAATAAATAGGGGCTGGAGAGATGATTCAGTGGTTAAGAGCACTGGTTGTTCTTACAGAAGACCCAGATTCAAACCCCAGCACCCACATGGCAGCTAACAACTGTCCCTAACTCCAGTTCCAGAGGCTCTGACACCCTCTTCTGTCCTCCGAGGGTACTGCACAACACAGGTGCACTCACACATGCAGATAATACACTCATACACATAAAAATAAATAAAAATTAAAAAATTTTAAATTAATTTAAAAAAATTTACATTTGTTGTGTATATATATGGGAAGTGGGGTGCACATACCACAGCATGCATGCGAAGGTCAGAGAACAGCTTGCTAGAGTCTTCTTTTCTTTCCTTCCACAATGTAGGTTTCGAAAATCGAACTCAAGTCCACCAGGCTTGACAGTAAGTGATTGTACCTGATGAGCCATCTTGAAGGGCCTGGCCTTGAGTTCTTGATTTTCCTGTCTCTACCTTCCAAGTGATGGGATTACAAGCACACACTAGTTCTCTTTGAAGGCCCAGTACCTAATGGAATAGTTTTTCTTTCTTTTCTTTTTCTTTTTGTATGTTGTTCTGTTTACATTTGTCTTAATTTACTTTTGGTGTGTGTGTGTCTGTGTATGTGCACAGAGTTGCATGAAGGCCATAGGAGGACATCGGGTGTCCTGCTCCATCAGTCTCCATCTCATTCCCTTGAGACAGGGTCTCTCACTGAACCTGGAGCTAGGCTCGTAGCCAGCAGGCCCCAGAAATCCTCCTGCCTCCAACCTCCACAGGGCTATGTTGTAAGTATGTGCAGCCGCACACCTTTTTGTGTGGGTGCTACAGAATCAAACTGAGGTACTCATGCTTTCACAGCAAGTGCTTTTATCTACTGAGCCATCTCTCTAGCCCCCTGTGTGTTTGTTGAAACAGAGTCTTGCCATGGTACCCATGCTGGCCTCAAACTTAACAGCTATCTTCCTTGCTTCATCCTTCTAAGTCTTAGAATCGCAGACATGTATCACCATGCCCAGTTTATGAAATACTTTTTCTTCATTGAGACCTAATACATTCTTGATGAATTGAACGACTAAACAACTCACCTTGGCTCTATAATCAGTTGGATGCAAGGTAAATTATTAAGTCACTGCTGACTTGAAACAGGAAATTCTATTGAAAATCATTTGTGTATTTGGAATCCAGGAAATCTTTACTCCTATGCTGCCCTTCTTCAGGACTCTCCCAAGCCCTCAGCTCTCAAGTTATTATGCTTTTTATAATCATCTCAACTCTAAAAACTGACACCCAAGGTGGGCATGGTGGCACACACCTTTAATCCCAGCACTTGGGAGGCAGAGGCAGGCCTGTGAGTTAGTTCAAAGGCCAGCCTGATCTACATAGTGAGTTCCACGACAGCTGGGGCTATAGTGAGACCCCGTCTCAGAAAACAAAACAAAATTTGTTTTTCTTGAGGGGGTCTTTTTGAGACAGGGTCTCTCTGTAGCCCCAGCTGTCCTGGAACTCACTATGTAGACCAGGCTGGCCTTGAACTCACAGAGATCCACCTGCCTCTGCCTTCCGAGTGCTGGGATTAAAGGCATGCACCACCATGCCCGGCTACAAAATTTGTTTTTATTTATGTGTTTGTGTGAACCTATAAGTGTATACAGGTGCCCACCCAAGCAGAAAGGAGCATAGGCTTACAGGCAGTTGTGAGCCCCCCAATATGGTTGCTGGAACTGTACTTGGGTTCTCTGTAAAAGCAGCAAACACTCTTAACTACTAAGCCATCTCTCCCCAGCCCTTATCAGTTGCTTTCAGCTCCCCCCCCCCCCCTTTTTTTTTCAGACAGGGTCTCTAGTCCAGGCTAGTGTGAAACCCACTAGGTAGCCCAATTGGAACAATCCTCCTGCCTCAGACTTCCAAATACTGAGATCACAGGCATGAGTTACCATGACTGGCTTCTGGGTTGTTTCTTTCTTCAAAAGGAGTAGTTATCCAAGGCTTTGCTGAGGAAGTGGCTTTGTTGCTGCAGCCTTACCCTATTCCCACTCTGGAGGAGACAATCTCCAGAAGCATTCCAGACCAAAGAAACTATTTGATCTTCAACTGCCCACATCCCCTAACTTATCTGATCTCAGAGCTGGTGAAGAAAGACAGCAGGAACTAGGCATGTTCTACCTCACTAGCACAGCCCTGCAGACCCCCAGAAGGGTCTAAGGAAGGACAGGAAACTGTCTCTAGCCCTGGTCTTTCCTCCAGCTGCTGTTTGACAGCTGTTGGAGCTTTTACTGGTGCCTCCTCATACAAATTTCCTAGGAAAAAGGCCCCAGCATGAATTGGGGAGAGAAGCTAGGGGAACATGGAACCAGTCTGCTCTAATTTTCTGTGGAATCAGCTGTTCACAGGTATGGAAATGTTTATCTATGACTAGTCTCTTCCTCTGGGGAAGAATGGGCTTGGGCTCTTGTCTCTATTGCAACACAAGCCACAGACCTCTTTGTCTAGATTGATATGCCCTTTACACACCTTTGGCCTCTCTTCATATTTTATAGTCCTGTAGTTTACAACATGTGAAGGGTACCGTGACTGTTAGTCACAGGAGGCCCTTTTGCCAAGGTCAGACCAGAGTTTCTGCTGTCTGCTGATGTCTGGTGGTGAGAATCTGAACTGTACTCTCCCTTTCTAGTTAGTGGCCTGTTGGCAGAGAATGCTATCTACACATTTTCTCAACAACTCAAATTCAAATATTATAAACAGTGGAACTATTTCTTTAGTTACTGAATTTTGGATTTTTTTTTATTTTTTGTCTTTTTGAGACAGGGTCTCCCTGTAGCCCCAGATGTCCTGGAACTCACTGTGTAAACCAGGCTGGCTTTGAACTCACAGAGATCCACCTGCCTCGGCCTCCCGAGTGCTGGGATTAAAGGTGTGCACCACCATGCCCGGCTTCTATTATTATTTTTATTTTATAAGTGTATGAGTGTATTGGCTGCATTGCGTGTCGTGCAATGCCCATGGAGGTCAGAAGAGGCTGTCGGATTCCCTGGGACTGGAGTTACAGACACTGTTGTTAGCTGCCATGTGGGTGCTGGGATTTGAACCCAGGTCTTCTGCAAGAACAACCAGTGTTCTTAACCGTTGAGCCATCTCTCCAGCCCTGGATTTGTTTTAAGGCATCATTGTGTAATACAGAGAACAGAAGCTGGGCTTTGGAATCATACTTGGGTTCAAATCCCAGGTCTGCTCTCTCTCTCTCTTTCTCTCTCTCTCTCT